CCGGAACCGGGAACGGGAATGGGAACGGGAACCGGGAACCGGAACCGGGAACGGGAACCGGGAACGGGAACGGGAACCGGGAACGGGAACCGGGAACGGGAACGGGAACCGGGAACCGGAACCGGGAACGGGAATGGGAACGGGAACCGGGAACCGGAACCGGGAACGGGGAACGGGAACGGGAACGGGAACCGGGAACGGGAACCGGGAACCGGGAACGGGAACCGGGAACCGGGAATGGGAACGGGAACGGGGAACGGGAATGGGAACGGGAATGGGAACAGGGAACGGGACCGGGGAGAGGGACCGAGGAGCGGGGGTTCCACCGGGGGTGCGGGATGGGGGTCCCGGGGGTGACACCGTGACCCTCCCGTCCCGCAGGCGGGGACTCCACCCGGCGCTGAGGAGCCCCCCGGGCTCAGCCCCGCGCCCCCCGCCCGGTCTGATCGATACCAATAAACTATAATCGATAATTAATCAATAATTAACCGAGAGCTGCAGCGGGGGGCACTGCGGGAACTGGGGGACTGCACGGGGGGTACTGGGGGGTACTGGGGTGAACTGGGGTGAACTGGGATGAACTGGGGGGGTACCGGGGGTACGGGGGGCGGTGGCTGCAGTTTCCCCCGCCACCAGTCGGGGGCGCCACACAGAGAGACGGGAGGGCCCGGACACCACGGGGACACCACGGGGACATCCGGGGAACACCCTGGGGACACTCTGTGACACTCTGTGACACTCTGGGGACACTTTGGGGACACCCTGGGGACACTCTGTGACACTCTGGGCACACTTTGGTGGCACTTTGGGGACACTCTGTGACACCCCGCCGAGGCCTCGCCCATCATGGCGGCCCCGTTCCCGCCACTTCACGGAGGCGCCGCCGTCGCCGCGTGATGACGCAACCGAGCGGCCATTAGAGAGCGGGCGCAGCGCAGTGACGTCATAACCGCGCGCCTCGGCGGCGGCCCGGGCGTGGGGCCGGGGCGGGAGAGGTCAGAGAGGGAACGGGGCCGGGATTGGGAACGGGAACGGGAACGGGAACGGGATCGGGATCGGGAACGGGAACGGGAACGGGATTGGGAACGGGAACGGGATTGGGAACGGGAACGGGAACGGGATCGGGAATGGGATCGGGATTGGGAACGGGAACGGGATTGGGAACGGGAACGGGATTGGGAACGGGACCGGGAACGGGGCCGGGAACGGGATTGGGAACGGGAACGGGACCGGGAACGGGAATGGGATCGGGAACGGGAACGGGAATGGGATCGGGATTGGGAACGGGATCGGGATTGGGAACGGGAACGGGACCGGGATCGGGAACGGGATTGGGAATGGGAACGGGAACGGGATCGGGAACGGGAATGGGAACGGGAACGGGAACGGGATCGGGAATGGGAATGGGAACGGGAACGGGATTGGGAACGGGAACGGGAGCGGGAACGGGATTGGGAACGGGACCGGGATTGGGATTGGGAACGGGTTTGGAACCGGGACCGGGGTGTTGGGACGCGGGGGGGTGAGCGGGGCCCGGGCTCGGCCCGGGGGGAACCGGAGCGCGGGGCTGGAGCGGGGCCAGATGGGGGCACCGGTACCGGGG